TATTATATTGAATTTATTGAGTAGGTTTAATGATAAAATGAATGTTGTTCTTTCTAGAGATATTGAATTTGAATAATTATATTTGGAAAGTGTGTGTTTACAATAATTAATCTGGATTTCGATTTCATACTATTAAAAGAAAAGTTTTACTCTGTTAAGGTATATTCAACTTTTAAATTATTTTACTCATTAAGTGGTCTAAATGATAAAAAAAAACATTATACATTTATACTCCTCAGAGGATTTTTTTGACAAATTTTAAATCTAATCCTAATCTTACCTAGAGAGGAGGGGAAGGAGGATTCTAGGGGAGGAAGAAGATTTCTCTTAGGGGTCTTAAACCCATGACCTAAGGGAATATAAGGGAATGAGGTGAGCAACTTGATCAACCGATCAAATGTGTCTGCTCTATTCTTTAGAGGATTTAGATTCGAACAATTGAATCTAAAAGTATATAAGTTGTGAAGACTAGAACAAACTTTCACACTGCCAGTAGAAAACGCTAAAAGGCCAGTCACGTGGATGAATTTACTTGCCATTTTCAGGTAATATTATCCAAAAATCATACTAAAAAAATTAAATACGAAAATAACATTCTTTCGTCAATATTTATCGATCTAGCATACATCCGTACTATGTGACAATAATGCGTGTTCTATAGACACTTTATGCATGTGACATCTCACTCAGCAAAGGCACATTCTGTAGGAAGTGCCTTATGTTTACGTGGCAGTCCACTTGGAGGGCGCTTTCTGCAGAACGTGCTTTTGTTAGGTTTAAATATCCAAGTTTTACATTAAATATAGCGTCAAATATAATATTAAATATCCAAAATTTAGTTTGATTATAATATAAAATTTTAATTTGAATATAACATTAAATATCTCAAATTTAATTCAAATACAACTTTAAATATCTTAAATTAATATAAAATTTAAAAAGATAAAATAATATAAACTAACAACGCATTCTTCATAAATATGTTTCACAAGACAATGATTGTCTATTTCGGGCGATGTTTCTTCGTATAGGTTGCTCATCATCTTCATTCTCATCCTCTTCATCAACATCAACTTAATCTTGTTGGGCGAAGTCGAAAAAAATACTTCCATGGAATAACAAATATAGAGGTGTGTGATTAACAATCTCATCGCTGTATCTTTTTATTTTTTATTTTAATTTAAGATATTTTAAGTTATATTTGAATTCAAGTTTAGATATTTAATGTGTTATATTTGAATTAAATTTTTATTCTATAATCAAATTAAATTTTGAATATTTAATACTATATTTAATATAAATTTTGAATATTTAAACCCAACAAAGGCGTATTCTGTAAAAAGCGTCTTTGTCATATCAACATAAAGCCTTCTTACAAAACACACCTCATACTGAATGAGATGTTTTTATAAAGTGTGTTTGGTAGCGCATGCTTTATTGTGAAGTAATATGAATCAGTGATGGATCGATAAATATTGTCGAAAATATGTTATTTTGGCCCCATTTTCAGCCTCATCAAACTGCATTGTCTTGTTTTTCTTTTTCCGTTGACAATATTTTCCAAAGGTTTAGGCGCAAATTTTTATGTGTTATAAAATTTATTTAATGTTTATTCATTTAAAATTGTATATATTATTTAATATTTATGAATAAAATTAATAAATAAATATTTTTATTTATAATAATATATTTAATATAAGTAGATAAACATAAACGAAATGATTTATTATAAGAATCTAATTTTTGGAGGTATGGTTTAGTTTGGGACTTCACTTTGAAATGTTAATGAGGCGTGGAATTGATCATCTCCAGGAAGCTGTGACGCATTAGTGTTGATGATTGCCCAGCGGTCGCATATTCTTCGCTTAAAACCTTGTTTTTTTTTACACAAAAATTTAGGTAAGGGTGGCTCCCTAGTCCAGGGTCAGGGCATACCTAAGACTCAATTGAGATTTACATAAGATTTTACAGATTGCCTACCAAGAGTGACGCTGATGAGATTCGAACTTGGTCTTACAAGCTCAAATTCTTGAATCTCAACCACTTGTGTCAACACTCGTTGTCGCTTAAAACCTTATTTTTGTCTCAACGTGAGCTGAATTAGTGGTGGATCTAAAAATTTATTTTTAGAATTGGTACTTGTATATCGACAATATAGATTTTTTATATAAAATAGACACAAATAAATTTTCAGGGTAGACACCATTAATAAAACGAACTACTAATATAAAAAAATTTAGATTTCAAAGTAAACACGTACCTACCCTAGACAAAGCGTACATCCATCACTACAGCTGAACCCGCCAATGATTTCACTCGTGCGTGAGTCCAAGGGCAACCTTGCCTCGCTCTTCTCACCAACTCCGAACCCCCTACCCTCGGTCCCTTTCCCTGCCGTTTGTAAATTACTTTCTCTATCCAGTTTACTTAACATGATCTGGCTGGATAAACTTCACAACAGTTGACCTTCCTCTTACTACAATAATTGGATTTACATATTTTGATTTTATTTTCTTAGGAAGTTTGAATTAAAATATTTTAACTTTTAAAAAAATTGAATACTTGGTAGATAATTTAAAAAATCCGTGTACAGAAATTATTAAGATTGAATGAGAAAAATAAAAGGAATTGGGGGGCCTTTCTTTTTCTGTTTAGCATGAATGAGGCTTTGCTTTTAGTTTTGTTTGATAAATTAGGTAGTGGGGAATCGAAATCATTAGGTGGTTAGTGAGTAGTTAAACAAAGCGCTAAACCCTTAAAAATAATACCAAGCATGGAGTTGAGGCCAGCTCTGGTAGCCCCAAAAAGGGACACGGAATTCAATCCAACGCTTCCAAATCCCATGGATAAGTATCAATCGCTACAACTCTCATACAGCTGTCCAATTGATTAGGCTCAGCATTTTCCTTGTTAGATGACACTTAACTTTCCAATTAGGCATTTAAACTAATGGGTTTCCACAATTATCAATGCCTCCAAATGCAGTAATTTCACTCCTTTTCGTTTTGGCTGCACCCGTCGATGTAATTACACAGCCGGAATGGAAATATGTACACACATGAAACCGACGTTTACCGGATTCAATGTTTTACAACTTATGCCTAAAATTCACCATCTTCTTTAGATTTAACAAAACTCTATAAAAAAAATGGTCAAAACTTAATTAAAATTATCATCCTTATTCTTTTAATATCTTATTCTAAAGTTATACAATAACAAAAGATACTAAAGTTATATTATTAGTTTGCATGTGATGTCCTTGGAATATAAGTATAATTAGTTCACAGAAGTTATACCAATGTTTATCTAATTATTAAATACACTCATCATTATATACAAATAATTTCTCACTTAGGTCACAATCATGTTAATTTAAGAAATTATTTTGACATTTTATCTTTTTTGACAGAACTTCCAGTTTATCTATATCTTTTTTACTATATGCTCTGATTAGTCATACGAATTACCATACATCATTTGTCTTCACAAAGTTAAAATGTCTATTGACATTTTTTCAATTCTTTTTTTTTTAAAATAAATGTGATATACATATTCATTTTATGATCTATATTTTAGGTTTAGGGTTGTCCTAATAATGTGCGCTACTAATTTTTCAGAGATGCATGCCATTGAGAAAAGCATCAACATGCTTAATTAATCTAAGAAAAGGAAAGATGTATTAATTGACCGAATGATCAATGTTGTTTATATTATTTTATTTTATGTGAATTCAAACTTTAACAAATGTCTTGAAAATATAATATCTTTTTATTTAAATAAAGAAAATCTAAGGGCAGTGGTAGTGGCATTCTCCAGCCACTTCCCTATCGTTTCTACTCTTATTTTATTTATTTTTCGTTGGTTATAGTTTGATTTTATTAATTTTCATTTATATTTTAGATATTTATAATAATGCATTCTCTTGGCCCTTTCTCTGATAAAGGGTGTCATGGTTGCTGGTACTTTTGGGTTCTTGGCACAAGTTTCTTCCATTGGTCTTCTTCTTGGTCTGTAGTTTTACAAAATTTCTTGGTTGCTTGCTTTCCAGATGCATGGTTTCTTCGTTCGTGTGTATATGTCATTCCGTTGGTTGTCAGATATCTATGTCAGATAGGACTGCAATTAAAGAAGGATTGGATTTCATTTGTATGCTTTAGATATTCATCAAGTTTTCCTCCTTTATGTTTGATGTTTAGGGATGTCGGAGTGCTTTGTCTCTGTATGTCGTTGCCTCAACCATTCACGTTTTTACTCTTTAGGTTATCACTAATCACTCACTGTTATATTTTGTTTATGATAATCATAAATATATTTATCCAACATGTACATGGAAAGACATTGTTGATGTTGTTTTATTTTGCTAATGAATATACCATAGCCCTACTTTAAAAATAAAGAAAGAAAGAAAATCTAAAAAAAAAAAAGTAGCCAATGATTTGTCATGGATGCCATTGATTTTGCTTCCACCGGCTTACTATTAGCTGGCGATGGAGGTTATTGAATTATTCCTATATATTAAGTTGTAAAACAAGTTTGCTTTACATTCCCACGCCTCTAATATTTGATATATATGTATATATTTCAGTAAATGGATAGACTATTAGGTTACTGTGAAGGAAATTAGTTAAAAAAGTTGCAAACTGATTAAATATTTGTGTATTTTGATGATTTTGTTTTCTTTTTCCGCTTTGAAAAGACACTCGTGTCTCAGTCACGAATAATTCAAAGATGGGACGTAATTGATTTGCCAATGAATCATGGATAGTTCCACTTCCTTGGCAGAGCTGGTAAGATAATAATGAGAAATTTTGCTCGACTTTAATTTCTCCAGATGGTTCCAGTGGGGCTTTTCCTACACCAGATATTCCCCGACAATCCACCGTTTCACATTTCTTTTTTCCATGCACAGCTAACCCCCTTTCCACTACTAATGTTACTCCTTTGCTCTCTCCGGTAACAATATCCTCGGCTATAAATACGAGAAATTATTCTCTTGTTTTCCACACATAACACTAAGGTATAGACACGGGAAACCAAACACAAGTCTATTTTTTGTTTCGGTCATGGCTATCTCCAATGCTCCGATTGCCTCACTTCTCGTTTCTCTTCTCCTTATCCAACTTGTCCATGCTGATCAACTGGTAAAGCTTGACCACTTCTTTTTTTTTTTTTTTGAATGATTGCTAGTGAGTAGTAACCTTAATTTAAGCTGCATGTTGATCTTAAACACAGGTGACAAGTGCCAACAAGGGAACTGCTCCCCCAACGAAAATCGGTAAATATGATCGATCCTCGTTGGTATCGAGAAAATTCGACTTTATTGATATATATATCCAATTGTGTTTGGTTTTTCCAGACTGCGGCGGGGCTTGTGCGGCGAGGTGCCGGTTATCGTCAAGGCCACACCTATGCAATAGGGCTTGCGGGACATGCTGCGCACGCTGCAACTGTGTTCCTCCGGGAACCGCCGGGAACCAAGAAATGTGCCCTTGCTATGCTAGCTTGACCACCCACGGTGGCAGACGCAAGTGCCCTTGAGTTTTTAATCCACTTGGAACGAATCTTCTCCTTTGAGCTTTGTGGTGAAATAGACGAATTGCATGGTGTAAGAATAAATAAATTAAAAGTGTGACATGCGTAAAGCACAACTCATTTAGTTAATCGTTTCTTTCTTTCATTTTCAGATATTATATGATTAATGACTTGTTACCTTGAATTTTAAATTTTTAATATGTTATATTTTAATGAATAATAATGAAGTTTTTAATTGTGTTTGCTTCCATTTACGTGGGTAGTATTTTATTTTTTTTAATGCATGTACGTGTGTTTTAACCTCTCTTTTTTTCTTATTCTTGAAACTGTGTTTTTTAACTTAAAATTAGTTTGGTAGGGCAAATGATCAGCCTTGGAAAAAGAAGACAACATGTGTCCTAAAAAATAAACGATTATATGCCTAATTCTTAAAGGATGAGTAGTAAAAGCATACAACTTAATTGATTATATGCATATTTCTTTTAAGGGTAAATTACACAAATGATCCTCTAACTATATGGTATTACTTTGTTGAGTCATCCAACTATTAAAAATTACAAAATAATCCCACGGTTATATGTCATTACTTTGTTGAGTCTCCGACTATTAAAAGTTACAAAATGATCATTCAACTATTCATATATTTCAAACTCATCATTTTCTGTTAAAAAATTGTGCTTGAGCTTAATGTTAACATGTAACCCCCTAAACCCGACCTATACATTACGACTAGGTTTCGGATTACATTAAAATTTCTAAAATATTTTCGACAATTTAAACCCGGATTATAAACAATCACTACAACATACTTGTTAATTTATGACAAAATTTCCATATGACGTTACATATATCGTCACAAAACATACTATAATGTGACGTTTTTTTTTATTTTCGTCATATTTATTGATTAATGGTATATCTTTTATGATAATTTTAAAAATGGTCATTGATTTTTGTCACTATATGTTTGGTGCCAAAATCTTCCCACCAAATTTTTTGGTGGGAAACCTTTTAATGACATTTAGATAAAATAATGATATTGTAAAATCGTCTCCAATTAAAAACAAGTATTAGTGATGATTTATTATAATGACGATTCAATTTGAATTAGTGGCGTTGCACATTTGTCACTAATAAATTTTATTCGTAATAATTTAATTTGTCATATTTTATAAGACGCTAAAAATGACATTTTATTATTGTCACAAAAGTGACAATTTAATTATTGTCATGTTTGAAGTTTGTTTGCTTATTCTGTTTGGAGAAGTTTTCCACGTGAACATTTTTTTTAAGTTTAGGAATTGTAACTTCTTTTAATAATAAAAGAATTCTTTAATATTCAATCCAAAACAATTCTTTAAAACATATTAAAAAATTATTTAATATATGTTAAAAGACATTTTCTTTTAAAAATACATATAAATAAATATATTTATCTACATTATTTAGATTGTTTTTAATAATTATTTAAATTGAATATTCCTTATTTTTAATAACTATTTTCAATTATTCAAATTATTTCTCCATATTTTTTATGCAACAATATTATATAATGACAAGTTTTGTAACTATATGTAATAGTTATTGTTATAGAAAAATTATCACAAAAAATTATTTTTTAATTAATAAAATATTCAAGTTTTTTTATAAAAGAAAATTACATTTACAGTTATATATTTAATTATAATGATAAAATAAAATTATTATTATAAAAAAATGTTAAAATTTTTTAATTTTTTCTAATATATATATATATATATATATATATAATTAAATGACATTTTCAAATAAAATATAATAACAAAATATATTATCAAAAAGTTCAGGGGCTTATTTATTTATTAAAAAATCATTATTCTAAATTTAAAATTTAAAATACACAAAAAATAAAATAGTAAAAATAGTAAAAATGAAAATTAAATTGCTAAAAAATTGAAGAATATATATATATATATATATATATATATATATATATATATATTGAGTTGGGAATGAACAAGTTAACTTAAGCCCACAGGTAAGACAGTCCGTGTAAGTCTTGAACAATATATATTAATCATAGTTGGGCAAATTTCCTATTAAAAGTTTTACATTAAGTTTAGGTAAAGTTTACTTCCATTTATCATGTTATATTCACTACAATACTATTCTTTGTTGTATAACTATTTTTAATATTTTTATTATATAGTTTCATAATGATTAATGATAGAAGCTTTTGGTTAAAGGGTCATGTTAATTATTTTTTTCCTAAGTTTGAGGGTCGCATTGAATGCAACAGTAATTTGATGGCCAAATTGATTTTTTTAAAATGTACAAGAGCCTTAAGTATCTTTTTTTTCTGAAAATTAATATAAATTAAATAAATATTAATCGGGTATCGATCACCCGAAAATACGGGTATCTAGGTTTTATGGGTACCCAACTTTTGGGTGCCCGCATATTACTGGTTGAGACGTAGATCGAGTTTTTGACACCAAAAAATTTTGAATACCTGAAAAAGTGAGTACCTAGATATGAACATCCCTAAATAATACGGATGATAAAAAAATCATGTATTAAATTTACTACGATTATTTTTATTAACTATAACACATCAAAGTTTAACAATAAATTATTTTTAATACACAGATTTTATATACGATTTTTATCATTTTTGTTAATAATTAATATTATTATAAAAAATTATATTTTAATATTATATGAATCTCTTCAAAACCATCATATTCTGAATATTATACTTTTATTATTTTAAACAAAACATTGAGTCATTATCAGAAATAGTAAAGAAACATTCAGTGACCAAATTAGAAGAAAAGAAAAAATTGGACCACATATGAAAATATGTGAGATTACAAGGACTCTTGTTCTAATTAGACCAAAATGTTTAGGAGAACACAAAAACCCTAGCCTTTTCCGCGTGTTGTTTTCTCCTCTTTGTGCGCCGCATCTCTCTCCTCCCTTCCCCTCTTTCTTTTATTTTTTACCATTTGTAAACCTTAACCCCAAAAAGATTAGAAAACTCTCAAGTGTTCCTCTGCTCTCCACGGTTGGGACTCCTACAATTTCCGGTTCATTGGCGTCAAATCCTTAATGTTCTATGACAAATTAGGAATTTTTATCAATGACTTCCTCGAAGAAATACTACGAGGAGAAAATTGGTTTCTTATCCAATGATTCATTTTCTTTAAACATCGTGAAATTGCATCTTTCATGCGACATTTGTCCTTAAATTTTGATAATTTAATGGACTTGAGACGGAAATTAATTGTGCAGAGAGGACAAAGCGGAAGAACCAGAGCAACCGAAGTACAGAGACAGAGCTAAGGGACACATCTGACCTCCATTCTACGATAGGGGAAACTAGTTCGGTGGATATTCATCGTGTTCTGGAGTTGAGGTCTCCAATTATTGTTAAGGTATAAAGAATGTCTAGTTGCTTTCTAATAATTATGCTTTGTATGTGAAACAATAATACAATATAGCCTTTGCTAAAATCGTATTAGTGTAAATCCATGAATGGATGTATCAGTATATTTTCAAACATTGATGTTGTCTGTTGAACTATTAGCGTATTGCGCATTGAAGTGAAATCCCTACCTTACTGACATTCTTTCAGTGGTTGAATTATCTTATAGCTCTATTTTTATTTTGATATTGTGCAATATGATTGAGAATGACGTATAAGCAAAATTTTGATGATAAACTTAATTAGAATCATGGAAGAACTAAGACCCTTCTCTGATATGATGAACAATGAAATATACATTTTTTTCTAGAGTGGATTTAATGCTACTTCTAGTCTGTAACTTTAGATTTTTAGTTCTGTTGGTAGTGTTTTGCTTTCTTTTGGAATTCCTCATTCTGTATCCCTAGCATTGATTTTTCTTTTCTAATATACAGAATTTTTCATTTTTTTCTTTCTAGTTCCCCTTATGGTTCTGTTGTCCAAACCGCATACTTTGTTGAAATGAACTCATTGATTTGAAAGAAAATAAATTGTGTATTTGAAACAGCTGGTACTATAATGCTTCATTGTCTGTAACCCTGTTTTGTGCAATTCAGGGTGTTATAATCCACTGATTCCCTTTATATTTTGCTTTCAATTCAGTAACTTATCTAAATTGACGACAATAAATTGATGACAATTACAGTTTTCTCCAACTCAGATCAGAGTGCAGATACAATCGAGTTAAAAAAATAGTTTGAAGAATAAAGAAGATGAACTTAATAACTATAAGTAGAATTTTGAATTGATTCAAAATCAAATGGAAGTTATGAGATCTGCTTTGTTAGCTGTTGGAATTCAAGTGCCATCACTTCAATTTTCAGGTAAACAATATAGTTAATCAAATAAAAATTATTATATTGTAGTAACTAATGTTGATTATTTTTTAATTTGTAGCTTCAAATGATACCACGAACTCAACATCAACAGAATCACAACCGATTGAAGGTTTGGATTGAGATTGCTACAACGAAATATTTCACAAGTCATATTATTATCATATTTTTTTTATTTTCTGTAAACATTTTTATATTTATAGAAATGAAATTATTATATATTTAGTGAAATATTTGTTTAAATCTTATTATTTTGCAATAAGTGAACTATTTTATTTTTTTTATTTAGATTTGTATAAATAATTTTATTTTAATATATATTGTCATTAAAATGTCATAGAATATAAATTATTTGTGTTTTGCTACAATAACTTTTTCGTCACATATAAGTTGATTTTAATGCATTATTTGTGAAAATATAAATTATCAATAACGAAATCTTATTTAATTTAGTGACATAACCAACTGTCATAGAATATAAATTATAAACTGACGTTATGCATAAACGTCATTCATAATATTATTAGGTAACATTTATATTATGTCACTAAAAATGTGACAATATCTCTTTCGTCACATATAGGTTGATTTTAATGTATTATCCGTGACGTATAAATCATCAATAACGAAATTCTACATAATTTAGTAACATAATTAGTTGTCATTGAATATTAATTACATAGTGACGTTATATATAAATGTCATCCATGCTACTATTAGGTGATGATATACTACGTTACTAACAATGTGACAATTTTCTTTTCGCCACATATACAATGAAATTATTGTGTTATTGGTGACGATATGATTTATTAATGACAAAAATGTACATCATTTGGTGACAAAAGTAATTGTCACTGAATGCAAATTAAACTGTGACGTTATCCATTAGCATCACTATATATTTAACAATACATGACGATTATACATACATCGTCACTTTTGACATTAGTGACACACCTAGGGTGACGATCGTCGTGACATTGACTTTTACGTCACAAAATACATATAGTGACATAAATTGATGTTTTAGTGACAATAACATACATGCCACTAATAAGAAAATTTGTTGTAGTGAATAATTAACAAAAAGGTCTCATAATTAATATCGATAAAAACTAAATGAGTAAATATATATAAAATCGTCAGTGACTGAGTAATATATAATACATCAAATGTCCATATCGCAGTAATAATCATAAAATAAGTATTTCAAAATAAAGGCACATGATGAAAGCAATTTGGAAAATAGAAACATTACAACAAAAGAATATGTAAGAATGTGTCGATCCTCCAAGTGTCTGGTTTGGGGTGTTTATCCAAAAGTATTTGTAAGGGGGGAAACAGTTTGAAAAGGGTGAGCTAGGGAGCTCAGTGTGTCCCAATAGTGCAAATAACATGGTAAGTAAAATAATCTAGAGTGTTTCAGTAAGGTATCATAAAAAGTCATTGATAAGTTGAATTTAAAACTCATTATTACCCTCCTCCCGAACACCAAAATGAAGTTTCCCTAGAACTGCATCCATAAGGGCTTACCTTATACCCATTGGGTATAGAAGCCAACCTAAGGGATCACCTTGGGGCCTTAGAGCCTACACAAGAAAGTTCCAGGGGCCTCAGAACCTACCCAATGGTCACCTTAAGTCCGTAAGGTATTATCAGCTTGATCAAAGTTGAACCTCCATACTCCAGTATCCTACCCAAAACAATATCTCAATAAAACAGATCACACAATAAGCAATAATTTCTATGATCCATAATCGACATAATCATGATCCAGTGAAAACAGGTAACCAATTAACATATATCAAACAATCATAGTTCATAAACAGTCAACCAATAAATTAGAAAATCATAAATTTCAAAAAGTCACATTTTAAAACAGGTAAAACAATTATATAGCACATAAGGAACAAACCTCGCAAAATAGGGTCAGTCAAGGTGTCTATTGAGTACCTGCTTCACCACGCTCTGCAGTAGTGTTTGAACCTAATTCATAATAAAACTGGGTTACTTTCTAAGTAAAATTTTTAATCTATGAAATCATAAGGTTCACGGGTCACACGAGTAACTACTGGCTCACAAGGTCGAACAGTCGAGAGGAGTTGTCAAACGGTCGGGAGAGTCTCATGTACCTTCAATTATTCGTAAATAAAACACTTAAGTACATATGCATGTTAAAGTTTGATGGTCAATTTGGAGGCTTTCAGGTTCAAATTTGGCAAAATAGACTTCGGTTCAGACTCGGGACGTCGAAAAACATAAAATTTGACTGTTTTGGTCAAAAGTCAACGATAAACTCTAGTCAAAGTCAATGATCAGATCAACAGTCAGTTAAAGTCAACGAGTTGACATAGCGAGTTGACTCAGTGAGTTGACTAAGCGAGTTGACTCAGTTCGACCCGGTTTGGTCTGAATGGACCGATTCCAAAAGACTCCTCGACCGACGACAAAGTCCCACGCGCATTGTCGACGCGTGCGACGGTGATGGGAGCGGTGGTGAGACGAGCTGACGTCTAGATCTACAGTATCGGTGAAACAAGGTGGCACGATTTTGGGTTTTTTTTTGTGATTCGATCGAATGTCAATTAATGACAAACGACGACGATGCTCGGCTTGAAACCAAGGGGGTTTTGGTCAGAGCGATGCGGTGGTCACAGTGGGGTGGCGATGCATTTCACGGCTGTCGGACGGCGACGTATTCGACGGTGAAAGGTTAGCGAGCTAGGGATTTAGGGATTAGGTATAATAGTCAGCTTTAGCCTTCAATATATACATTTATTAAAATAAGACACAAATAGTGCCCTAGCCTAATGGTAGGGTGATGGGCTGCCTTATCCAAGGATAAGGGTTTGAATCCTTGCGGCCTCTAAACCATTTTATTATTATTATTTTCCCATTCTGATAGAAAATGGATAAATTTAAGGTTAGGTCCCTGAATTTTCTTTAGCTTCTAAAATAGGCTGCAAGTTTTAAAAACTTTCAATTTGACCCCTAAATTTAACTAAATTGATTTAATTTTTTTTTTATTTTTTTTAATTTAAATGGGGTTGTGACACAACATATTGACTTAAATATGATAAAATTGTATTTTAATGATGTTTTCTAGCACCATCATTACTTTTAATCACAAGCTTGACGACAAAATATTTCAAGCACTGGCTTGACGACATAATATAAATAGAGGCTTTATCCAAAAAATTCACCTCAAACGATTCTGATATCAAGTTTTATCATATCCCAGTCAACAGGTTAACGCCAAGCTCAAAAGGCCCTCAATGTTTTAATAGAAATGACAAGTTTGGAACATATGAATAGCTATGTGATCATTTTGTGACTATAGTGATCATTTTGTAAATTTTAATAGTCATGAGACTCAATAAAGCAACATCCTATAGTTAGGGAATCATTTTATAACTTTTAATAATTGAGAGACCCAAAAAAATAATATTATATAGTCGCGAGACCATTTATATATATTTTACCCTTCTCTTAAAGAGGATACTTCACTGACGGTATCCATTCTCAGTTTGACAATCTATGTAATAATTTACTTGGGTCCAATTGCAATCGTTAGATTTCTTTTTCAAAATAAGTAGGGGTGGATGCGAGCTTGTCTAGGGACAAAGTTTACCTTTAGGAATCCATAAAGAAACAATCAAATTTTTTAAACAAAATAATTCTAAATCACTTTTAATATTCACTTTTTCGCTGCATTTTTTAAAAATATTAGTATTAAACGAAGAGTGAATATTCTATCGATAGAATAAAAATAATTAAATTATTCAAATTGATAAATCTTATTTTATATCTTAAATTTTAATTATTTAAACTAAATTCAAATAAAATTAAATCGAGGTGTAAATTTTTTTATTCAAGCACAAGTTAGGTCTCTTGAATCGGATAGATCACTGTCGTAGACGAGGACGAAAAGTTTTACCACTGGCAATATGATACGACAGTTTGGGAGCAGAATTGAAGCATTTAATATGAACCCAATGTTAATTAGAACCTTGAATTGAACGACTAGGAAACATCAATCAAGCAATAACCAGAGTTCATTTACATCTCGATCAATATGGTCCTAGATACTATTAATTTGGATTGTGAAAGACGTAATTTCTTGAATGATATATCTAGGGATGCTTATTAAGTGAGTTGATAGCAAGTTAAGTAGTGCTCGACTCATGTTTGTTAAATCTTTTTTTGTTCAACTCGTGCTCCTTAAAAAAAATTTACTCGACCTGACTCGTTACTCTCTAAACTCACCAAAATATTGATCGAATTTTGATTGAGTCGAGTTCGAGTAACTCACGAACTGTTTAACTATTAAACATCCTTAGACACATCAAGGGGGCAAAGCGTGATGGGAAGTTTTGAAAACAAATTAAATATGAAAAACGAATTGGATGTTGATCATATTGGGAAAAGAAATATGATTACATATCTTTCATTCATTTATATAATGGAAATAACAATGAAAAGAGGAAAAATGCCAGATGACACATACCAATTTCCCCATATCTACCAATTTAGTCATTATTGATTACTCTGATAGCTTTACTTTTAAACATCAACCTACTTTACCTTGGGTTAGAATCCACCACATCTATCTACACTATTACCTCTACCTTCCTATAAATACCAGAGCAGGTCAGCCCATGTCCATCATAGACAACAACTCCAAGTAATGGCCGTCTCCAAGACTCTTTTACCTCTGCTTCTTATTTCTCTTTTGCTGTTACTTCACTTTGCTGACTCCTCCGATCCAATGGTAAATTTCCATTTCTATATAATGTTCTTATTAATTTTCCTACATACCATGTAAGATTCTGTCCAATATTATGTATTGCAGGTGATCAAGAACACTGTACAACATTCGATGACTGATGAGGAAATAGGTAACAAATACTAGTGATTTCATTTTTGTTTCAATGTTATGAATGGTGTATTGCATATGATCTATATGCTTGGTTTAGATTGTGACGAAGCTTGTGGGGAGAGATGCAAGTTATCGTCGAGGCCGAACCTTTGCAAGCGAGCGTGTGGGACGTGCTGCAATCGGTGCCATTGTGTCCCTCCGGGAACCTCCGGCAACTATGATGTGTGCCCATGCTACCGCGACATGACCACCCACGGAGGAAGACACAAATGCCCTTAAATAACCCATATAATCTGGTTTAATTACCACTCAAAGTAAAATTATATTGTATGATTTTGAAAGTAACTGAATAATATTAATTGCAGTGTAAAATATGTGGTTGTACCTACTTTCTTTCGTTTTAATGATATTTATGAAATAGCAATTCTAATCCAAAGTAATTTAGTATATTTAAAATATTAAAAATGTAAATTTATAAAAAAAAATTAAAACGTAAAACAATGGTAAAAGGACAATAGCTGATGTTAACTTACCACGGATGATACTTTTTCTATCAGTTGGTTTAATCTAACAAAAAAATCAAAATTTTAAGACTTAAAATGTTTTTTTTTTAAATGTCATTAGGCCGAAAACAAAGGCCTGGTGGAACTGCTACAATCTTGACTCAATTCCAAGTTGGCAAAATGGAAAGCCACTGGTGCCCAATGCTCAAATTGCCGTTCCTCTACATTCAACACCAGATGTTGTTGCACGAATCAAGACTTTGGTGGTTAAAATGATATTATTATCCTTAGAGTATCCTTAGATATCTCGGGTTTGAGTACAACGTTTGTAGGAGTATTTCAACGTTCACTGTCAAATGGTTAGTAATAACACAAAAATACAGGCAACAATAGAAACAACTCAACACAAATTGCACCATCTTTCTTTCATGCAGAATCATCCTTACTCTAGCTTCTCCAGTTCTCCCATTCTCTCTATAATTGCCTGCAAAATGCAACAAGACTAACTAAGAGTGCTATAGATTCAAAGCCATTAGACATTAGCATTGCACCTTTACAACAGGAAAAGGGAACTTTGAATAAGATAGATCTTACTGCTATCATATTCAAAGAGTGCATGACAGAGCATTTCGGTAAATTTGTCCAAAACTATGAAAATTCCAAGACCAAAACTCTTAAAAACAACTCGAAGGATGATGATGATAAAGAAAGAGATGGCCGGAAAAAAAAGGAAACAAAGGATATGAATTGGGAAGGAAAGAGCTGCACTACAGTTCTGATCAATATTAACCATAGAACCATCAGCATGAACAATAATTAAAAGGTTAAAGGTCCAGAGAAAAATGCAAACCTTTTTTCTTGTTTCTTGAAGCTCTCCGGCAAGAATGAATTCATCAAGTATTAGATAGACCTTCAAGAATTTCCAGGGAAAGGGTAAATCATATTGCAGAATTATGACAGCCAACATTAATGCACGCAGTGACACTGATATGTGGAATATAAACTCAAATTCATCTCAGTAATCAGAAAAGCTAACATCAATAAACCAGGTAACACATGATTATCCCCATAAATGAGCAAATCAAAGCAGGAACGGAGCCAGAACTAGCTTTCACATGCACAAGATAAAGATTGCAACAAAAAAAAAAAACAATTTGAAAAGGAAGTTCACCATGTGTTAAGGCTTGAGAGCACAAACTTTGATCATCAACTACCAAGCTTTTGAAAATGGCAGCTTCATGAAAATCACGAAGTAAATTTCAATACAGCAAGATATGTTCAAGCAGAAGTTAACAATAACAATCATTGTTACATACCTTCTGAAAATTAAAAACCAAGTCGAGCTCGCAAACATTACTGAAAAAATGATCCAATATCTCCACAAATAAATGGATGCTTTCCAAGTACGCGAACTCATTATCCGTTATGTTAGCACACAAGCAGAAGAACAATCCAGCATACCTCCTGTTGAGAAGATAGAATTCAGTGAATAACCTCTAATAACATTCATTAAGCTCATTGTTAACTACGTTACAACCAGCTTATATAGAAGCTGTAACTTCAAGTGTACTCAACCTCTATAACAAACTCATAACAGAATCCAATATTTCTTAACAGCAATAACAACTCACTCACACACACAACGCTCACATCAACAACACATACACACGTTACTGCATATTCTAGAATGCAGTCATGTATTCCAGAATATATTCCAATAAAAATGTGAGAATGCTGCCATGTTGAATATACCAGAGAAACCTTCAAGAACTTGTGCACTTTCTCTATTCAATTAACAAAGATGATTACAAAAGCTGATTACAAGCCTCACGTTCTTCCAGCTTATATAACAGCTTTACAAAGCTTTAAAAACTGCTTAACAATATTCTGTTATAACCAACTAGCTTCTAGACTCGTATTAATTCTACAACCATCTCAACTATATCATGCATGAGCATGCATGGAAGCACGTCTGGGACTGCTGCATACATATGCAGTGCAGTAACTCTCAACATTCTCCCAACTTTCTCAACCTTCTTAATGAAAAAAAAATGAACACTTGAATCGAAAGTGCGACGTCTCCTTCCATTCGACTTGAATCGAAAGTGCCGATGCTTCCTTCCTTTCAGTTTGAATCGGAAGTGCCGATGCTTCCTTCCATTCACTTGAATCGGAAGTGCGACGTTTCCTTCCGTTATTCTTGTTCACCTTCATTTCTTTCTTCTTATCTTCCTTGTCCCTCTCTTAAACTTAAGAGGCATGTTTAGTTTCGCGAAATCTTCTGATACTTCGGCGTTGGCATGAACAAATTCTATAAGTTCGTAAGGCAACAACGAATTGGATCTCTGTTGTATAATCTTCACAGCATGATTGTAGCACCATGAACTACAGGATCGTTTGTGGACACAGCTTACAGTATATGGACATTTTTCAGGATCGATAGATTCCACAGTCAAATGGTGAAGCGTCCCAGCCACCACTTGCTTGCTTTCACAACTCGCACGAACTCGACCATCGCGTTTTCTTTCTTGTTGTGCTCGTCGACGGAAAAGCGAGTAGGGTTTTCGAGTTCGACATTGTTATGGGATCCCTGGGAAGGGCAGACTCTGTCCAAAGTGGTGTTTGTCACTATTGGTTCAAAACAGAAGGTTGATTCAGTGGATAAACGGTTGAAGAAGAGAATTGGGATTGCTATGAAAATAAAATGGGTTGCAGAAAATTGGTGCAGGCAGCAGAGGAAAATGACAATTCGATGGAGAAAGCAACAATAGTTGAATTGATTTAGATCTACAACAAACGAAAATAGCAGCAGCGGATGAAGGAAAAACAATCGACTGAGAAGAAAAACAACAATTAATGGAAGAAACGGAACAACATTGACGAAACTGAGATCGACTATCAACGACGCAGTAGTGAAAGAAAACAAAGATGACAAGATCTTTAGCGAATGATACCATGTGAGAATGCTGCCATGTTGAATAAACCAGAGAAACCTTCAAGAACTTGTGCACTTTCTCTATTCAATTAACAAAGATGATTACAAAAGCTAATTACAAGCCTCACGTTCTTCCAGCTTATATAACAGCTTTACAAAGCTTTAAAAACTGCTTAACAATATTCTGTTATAACCAACTAACTTCTAGACTCTTATTAATTCTAAAACCATCTTAACTATATCATGTTGCGAAAGACGACTATCGGATAGAGCAATATCGCAACTGATAATTTGAGAAAATAAAAATGATAATAAAAGAGACACAAAATTTATATGAAAAACCCCTAAATAATATAGGGTAAAAACCACGGGCAACGGTAGAAGAATTTCACTATGAGAAAATAGGAATTACAACTTCTCTCGATCTACCAAGGAGAAAACAATGATAATTATCTCTTGATAAAAAGGAAAAAAAACTCTCAATAAACTCTCTAAATTCTCTCAAAATGGAAGAAAGCTAGAATGCTTTTAGATGATTTTGAAGCTAAATGGATTAGGGTATTTATATTTGAAGCTTAAGGATTAATCTTATAAATACTCTAAAGTTTAGTGACTAAAGTTTATAATTTTTCCATACAAAAAATCAACAAATTTCAGCCATTTTTTACCATTTAGCCGCCCCACTTGTTGGGCTGCTATGACTTTCAACAATCTCTCACTTGAAGATTTTATTGCAACAATTATATCTTCACACCACTCTTTCTACCTCGTATCTTCATGTTGCTTACGTCTATGACAGGCCACAAGAGAATCGACACCAAGTAAATTTATCAGCACTGATCGCCTTCGTCATGAAATCTACTACGTTGTCTTTGGTATGAATCTTCTGCATATCTACTGTCCCTTTTTCCACTTTTTCACGAATGAAATGGTACTGAACTCGTATGTGCTTTGTCCTTGAATGAAATGTTGGATTCCTTTCTAGATGCAAGGCACTTTGACTGTTACAAAACATAGAGACGTACTCTTGATTGTGCCCAAACTCCTCCAATAGCATCTTCAACCAAATTGTTTTTTTACTGGCTTGTGTAGCTGCTACATATTCTGCATCTGTTGTAGATGTAGCCACAACTGACTGCAATTTTAAAACTCAGCTTACAGCTCCACCAGCAATTTTGAACACATATCCTGTAGTAGATTTACTTTTATCCAAATCCCCTGCATAATCAGAATCAACATACACATTAATAAGTAAATTTGATCCTCCGTAACATAATGCAACATTTGAGGTCCCTTTGATGTATCTCAAAACTCTCTTTACTATATTCCAATGCTTTTTGTCTGGATTCGCCATGTACCGACTAACCACTCCCACTGCTTGTGCAATGTCTGATCTTGTGCATATCATAACGAACATTAAACTTCCCACTGCTGATGCATACGGTATTCGAGATATCTCCATCTTTTCTTCTTCACTGTTAGGACTCATACTGGAGGATAATTTGAAGCTAATAGAAATAGGGATAGAAATTGACTTACAATCTTGCATGCTGAATCGTTACAAGATCTTCAAGTAATTTTTTTGTAAAAGCCAAATCTTCCTATTACTTCTGTCTCGATGAATTTGCATACCTAGAATCTTGTTTGCTGATCCCAAGTCCTTCATTTCAAATTCTATAGCCAGTTGTGCCTTCAATTCTTCAATATGATCTTTGTTGGTCCTGCAACCAACATGTCATCCACATACAACAACAATATAACAAAATCGTTATAAACAGACCTTTTGAAATATGCACAAGGGTCTGCATTAAGTCTGTTGTATCCAAGTCACATAATGAATGAATCAAATCTCTTATACCAACATCTCGACGCCTGCTTTAAACCGTACAGAGATTTGTTCAACCTGCAAACCAAGTTCTTTTCTTTTTCTTCAAACCTTCAGGTTGGAGCAAGTAAATATCTTCTTCAATATTTTCATGAAGAAAAGTTGTTTTAACATCTAGCTGCTCTAGATGAAAGTTCAATGTAGCACACATTGTCAAAACTACTCGAACTGTTGTTAGTCGAACCACATGAAAAAATATTTCATTGAAATCAATACATTCTTTTTGAGCATATCCTTTGACCACCAGTCTTGCACGATACCTCTCAACTTGATCGTCACCATTTCGCTTGATTTTGAAGACCCATTTGTTACCAATTGACTTCCTTCCTTGTGGTAGTGGCACAAGGTCCCATGTATTATTTTTATGAAGGGTTTCAATTTCTTCTTGCATCGCCATCATCCATAATGAAGCATCTGAGTTGTTTATTATCTCCTGGTATGTTGATGGCTCACCGTCCTCTGTTAAAAGGCAGTATGCAATATTACCTTCTATAACATAATATGAGTGCTAATTGGGATGTCTTCTCACACGATTTGATTGACGAGTTGTTGGAGCTTCAGAACTCTCTGGTTCTTGTTCATCATGTGCTGGTTCTACTTCAGAAGAATCTCCTTGTTCAACCTCCTTTTCTACATGTATCTGTGTAGTCTCCGACTTTTCAGTGCTATCATCGTCTTCTTTTCTTTTTAGTTTATCTTCTACAAAGATAACATCCATGTTGATAATCACTTTGCGGGCAGTGGGATCCCACAATCGATACCCCTTTACACCATCAGCATATCCCAAGAATTTGTATTTCCTGGATTTTGGATCCAACTTTGAAATTTCTTAGGAATCGTACATCACGTACACAACACTTCCAAATACATGGAGGTTTGAATAATCAGCTGGTTTACCAGTCCACATCTCCATTAGTGTCCTCAGCTCTATTGCAGTTGATGGAACTCGATTCACCAAATAACATTCGATATTGACTGCTTCTGCCCAGAATGATTTTTTTAAGCCTGCATCCCTCAACATTGCTCTTGTTCTTTCTAACAAAGTTCTGTTCATCCGCTCTGTCACTCCATTTTGTTGAGGAGTGCTCGTCACTGTGAACTATCTTTTGATGTTTTCTTTCCTGCAAAAGTCATCAAATTCTTCGTTTGTGTATTCTCCTCCATTATCTGTTCTGAAACACCTGATCTTATTTCCAGAATCAAGTTCCACAATGAGAAATTTCTCTCATTGAATTTTTCAATATCAAATTTCGTTGTCATAGTTTCTTTTACGGATAGCTCACAATATTTCACTATCGTGAATAGTTCTCTATAACCTTCAAAGAATGAGTAATAACTTCTTACTTTCTTATGTTGGAGGATCCACCTTTTGATGGCAACCACAAAGACAATAAGCAAATATTACACATTCTAATCTGGCTCGGATACCAATTGTTGCGAAAAACGGTTATCAGAAAAAGCAAAATCGCAACTGATAATTTGAGAAAATAAAAATGAAGTTAAAAGAGAGACAAAGTTTACGTAAAAAACCCCTAAATAATATAAGGTAAAAACTACGGGCAACGGTAGAATAATTTCACTATGAGAAAATAGGAATTACAACTTCTCTCGATCTACCAAGGAGAAAACAATGATAATTCTCTCTTGATAAAAAAGAGAAAATAACTCTCAATAAACTCTCTAAATTCTCTCTATTATTGGAAGAAAGCTAAAATATTTTAGGATGATTTTGAAGTTAAATGAGTTAGGATATTTATAATTAAAGTTTAAGGACTAATCTTATAAATATTCTAAAGTTTAGTGACTAAAGTTTATAATTTTTCCATACAAAAAATCAACAAATTTTAGCCATTTTTGACCATTTAGCCGCCCCACTTGTTGGGCTGCTATGACTTTCAACATATCATACATGAGCATGCATGGAAGCACGTCTGGATTGTTGCATACATATGCAATGTAGTAACTCTACACCGCCAGTAAATTACCTTGTGCGTACGAAACCACAGCAGAAGTATATGCATAGAATCAATCAAAATTCAGCAATTTAATCAACGCTTAATGTTAGATCTTCACCCCGTTTTCATATTTCTTCAATTTTATAACTAATTTATTTTGGTGATTCTCTCTAAAATCATGATTAATGAAAGAACTAAAGCAAAAACTTTCCTTACACCAACAGTTTTCCCTGGTAAACCAAATACGAGAATCGAAAATGGGGGGAAAGCACAAACTTTATAAATGGATTGAAAAGGAGAATTAGGAAAGTCACATGCCTCAATGAAAATGTAAACTTTGGATATCTGTTAACAACCAATCGATGAACCTGTAAATGTATAATCAAGATATTGAAAAACCCAAACTAAGAAATCGTCCAAAACTCAAACCTTAAAGAAAAGGTCGAGATTTTCGTATAATAATCAATATAAAGGGGAAATGTAATACCTCATTTTCGACCTTGTGCTTCTCGGAATCCTCGAGAGGAACATAATATTTGGCTAGACGAATCTTGCCTTGCCTGTTTTGCAACAAAACGAATCGGATCTGCCATGATCAAGAACACAACAAAAAGATCAACAAAGATTTCAGATTTTCTATTCCAAAAAACACTTTTTTTAGAAAAAGAATGTCATCTTCGAGGAAGGGGAAGAGTAAAGAATAAGGTTGTACCATTGTTGGAGCTAATAGGCAAAAATGTTTTTATTGTTTCGCGCTTCGTAGATTGTCGAACACGACGGATTTGAAACTTTACAAGATGGCGAGTTACACCAATGTCTACTCACGATGTCAAATCATGTAATTAAACAAGTTTAATATCACATCAGATCAAATTATATAGAAATTCTGTTAAATCAATTCAATAATTTAAATTAAATTAATATAAGACTGTCAATAAATCGCATATCATAATTATAAAAATTGAAATACATAAGAAAAGAAGATCGCAACGCGATTCAGAAAATCGCAACGCGATCTTCCAAGAATCGCAACGCGATTAAGAAAATCGCAACGCGATTCCAAGAATCGCAACGCGATTTAGAAAATCGCAACGCGATTCCAAGAATCGCAACGCGATCCAGAAAATCGCAACGCGATTCCAAGAATCGCAACGCGATTCAAAAATCTCGCAACGCGATTCCAAAATCGCAACGCGATCCAGAAAATCGCAACGCGATTCCAAGAATCGCAACGCGATTCAGAAAATCGCAACGCGATCTTCCAAGAATCGCAACGCGATTTAGAAAATCGCAACGCGATCTTCCAAGAATCGCAACGCGATTAAAACGCAACGCGATTCCAAGAATCGCAACGCGATTAAGAAAATGAGTAATTCTTTCAAAAGTTGTTGCATTTGTTTCTTTCTTAAGAATTTTCTCTAAAAAGATAGTATCCGCGCGGACGTGTCGAAGACACGTATTACCACGACCACGACCACGACCACGACCCGACCACGACCACGACCACGACCACGACCACACCACGACCACGACCCGACCCGACGAGACGGCGGCGGCGGCGGCGCGCGAGAGTCCCCCTTTTCTCTTTCACTCAACAAGGAAATGGGAATCCAAGCCTTAAATACACTTCCCAATAGTGTTTCCTACTATGTGGGATGAGCATTACTCAACACTTCAAAGAAAATATAGCAATTTTGTAGCATGTTTCCCGCTTAATCCATATTAAAAATATTAAAACATTTATCATATTAAACTATATGTATAAGTTTGAATTGAAATGTAGATATCTACAACTCTTTTAATTCTCTTGATAAATGTTTTAATATTTTTAGATATGGATTAAGTGGGAAATACTACAAAAATTGCTATATTTTCTTTGAAGTGTTGAGTAATGCTCAATCCCACATAGTATTGGAAACACTATTGGGAAGTATTTAAGGCTTGGATTTCCCATTTCCTTGTTGAGAAAGAGACAAGGGGACTCTCGCGCCGCCGCCGCCGCCGTCTCGTCTCGGGTCGGGTCGGGTCGGGTCGTGGTCGTGGTCGTGGTCGTGGTCGTGGTCGTGGTCGTGGTCGTGGTCGTGGTCGTGGTCGTGGTCGTGGTCGTGGTCGTGGTCGTGGTCGTGGTCGTGGTCGTGGTCGTGGTCGTGGTAATACGTGTCTTCGACCGTCCGCCGGATACTATCTTTTTAGAGAAAATTCTTAAGAAGAAACAAATGCAACAACTTTTGAAAGAATTTACTCATTTTCTTAATCGCGTTGCGATTCTTGTAAGATCGCGTTGCGATTTTATAAATCGCGTTGCGATTTTCTGAATCGCGTTGCGATTCTTGGAAGATCGCGTTGCGATTCTTGGAATCGCGTTGCGATTTTCTGGATCGCGTTGCGATTCTTGGAATCGCGTTGCGATTTTCTAAATCGCGTTGCGATTCTTGGAATCGCGTTGCGATTCTTGGAAGATCGCGTTGCGATTTTCTGAATCGCGTTGCGATTTTCTGAATCGCGTTGCGATTTTCTGAATCGCGTTGCGATTCTTGGAAGATCGCGTTGCGATTTTATGAATCGCATTGCGATTCTTGGAAGATCGCGTTGCGATTTTCTTTTCAACGTTGCGCTTTTCTAAATCGCGTTGCGGTTTTGATATCGCGTTGCGATTTTGTTGGTCATTTTGGCAAATCAAAAAAAAGTTGGTTAAAATCGTATATTATAATGCATTTTTGGTCACTGAGGCGATTTTCTCTTATAAAAATTGAAATACATAAGAAAATCATTTAAGAATGTAATGACTTATCCCAATTCAATCAGAGTTTATAGTTTAAAGATCAACATGATAATAAATAATAATAATCTTGATAGGTGTCGTCAAATCATATTTTAAGAAAAAAATAAAACAAAAAGAGCGACTAAACCTCTGATAAAGAAGATCAAAAGCGTGTCAAAAGACATAAGAAAAACATATCATAAAAGTAAAAAATGTGTCGTATAAAGAAAAACGTATTATAAAGGAAGAGTTATTGAAAATAAAATAAACGAAAAATAATGAATATCGACAATCGACAATTAACACTAAAACTAATGTCGCTATCAGCCAAGCAAAGATGAAAAAAAGAATAACCGATGTGCTTGATAAGAGGAAAAAAAACTAGAAAAAATTTGAACATAATATAAAATTTATAGTTAAGAACAAGAGAAATATTGAATAAAAAATATATATATATTACCCTTTTCAATCTAAAAGATTACTTACCCGATAAGAAATATGGTTATAACCTAAAATACTATTATAATTTTTCAAATGAAAAGAAAAAAAAATCAAAATTCATGGTCATATTTTAAGTTTTATCCTAAAAATTACACAATCTACATGATTTGGTATGCCTAACATAACATTTTAACTTCTAATCTAAAAAGTTACATATCTTATAAGAAAACCAATTATAACTTAAAATGTTACACGAATGATAATATTTTTCTTCAATTGAAAAGCTAGGGTAACATTTTAGGTTATAACTGATTTTCTTACCAATTATGTAACTTTTACGATCAATGACGGATTTAAAATTATTTTTCAGGTTGAACATATTTGTATTAATAATAAAAAAAATTATATGAGATATGCACCAATAAAATTTTAAGATGAACATCATTAGTAAAATAAATAAATATAAAAAAATTCAGATTTCAAGATAAAAACATACCCACTTTAAAATATACATGCATCCGTTATTGAAAACGATACCATTTTAAGTTGATAATAGAGAATTTATCTTTTCTTATTTTTTTTCATCCAACAATTATATTATACTCTTAGAAAAATCTCATCCAACGCTCAAACTTAACTACCTTTTTTAATCTTATTTTAATGTGTTTCAGCTTAGACTTTCTCAATTTCAGGTGTTTGTTTTTTGTTTGTCCTCTATCGGATATCTTAATCACACTGTCTCATATCTCAAGCATTCTCAAATCTAGGCCTATAAACGAATCGAACGCACACGAACGGATGCATGTTCATGTTCGAACATAAACGAACAATTTTTTTTTTCATGTTCGTTTATTAAGGAATATAACTTGTTCATGTTCGTTTATTTAATAAATAAACGAACATAAACGAAACAAACATAAACGTTAGAGACCCTACCTTCCATTGTTCTTTCATGAAAAATAGTCGACAATGCAAATCAACCAAATCTACAGTGATAAATAGCAAAAGAGCTGATTAGCAGTGATAAAATATTTGAAGATATCAAATATTTCGATCGATCTTTTAAAGATATTAAATGATTCACACGACTTTAATTTAACGCTATAACATTTATCTTAGTGGTCCATGATTACATATTAACAATCATTTTTCACTACGTTATTCTAATAAATTTGTCGGCTAAAAGTTTTGTGACATCAATGTCAGACTTTAGTGAGATTTGTTAATAATGATCCTTTTCGTTGGCAGAGTAGAAAATTTAACAGAATGAAGATTTTGAACAGTACAAATTGGACTACAAGGCAATAACATAGATCCGAAATCCCTTCGCTGCTACATATCGTAATTGATATTATTGCTAAACCACCATTCAAAATTTTAATGTACCTAAAATATACTCCACAACTAAAGGTCACACAATAACTATGAAAACAAAAGTTTATTGTCAAAGTGTATTTTCTACTTATTAATGGGTTCTTCCTAGAAAACTCATTACTTTCGCTATTACACTCTTTTTCAGAAATTGCATAGAAACCTTTGTTTTGTTTTCTGGCAAATTTTATATATTTTTCTCTGTACTGATGCTCATATACTTCCGATTGTTACCTTTATCTTCTCATCTATTTCTAGAAAGAAGTATGATGTTTTCTTGAGTTTTAGATGTGAAGATACCTGCAATAACTTTATATATCAACTATTAAGCCAAATAAAACAGAGAAAGAGATGAAAACAGACCTGTAAAACTTCAGATTGCACTATAATAGAACTTGTTTTGAAGCTTTCAGCGATCGTCTCCACTCTCCAGTGAACACTAGAATTTGGGAAAAAAAGGGGGAAAATGAAAATAGGTGCGAGATGCCTCACGGGTTAACATATTGGATTTAATCTCCAAATTAAATTGGGTTAATTATGGAGTTGGTCATCAGAATATCAAATTAATTAATATTTTTAAGATACTTACAAATTGGTCACTAAAATTGATTTAAGAAGATTGGATTAAACATAAATGAATGAACATAAACGAACGTAACCGAACGTTCACGAACGTAAATGAACGAAAGAGACCTATGTTCATGTTCCTTCATTTAATTAAACGAACAAAAAATCTTGTTCATGTTCGTTCATTTAATAAATAAACGTACATAACCGAACTTCCCGCCGCACGGTTCATGAACGGTTCGCTGAACGTTCAGTTAATTTACAGGACTTATCAAATCCATTAATGTAAGAAAATCAAAAGTGTTTTCTCTAACTTTATCTTTTAAATGTTAATTATAAAACCACTAATTTCCGGTGTTGAAAAATTGAGTAAATCAGAGAAGGGCCCCCAAAACTCCAAGTGCGAGATATTGGACCCTTGGATGTTCAAAAAGTGCCTCTCTTTTCAAGTCCATAAACGCCGCATCAGCTTCACCTTCAGATTTCACTGTCAAATATAAAATAGAATTCCAGTGAAGTGAACGCCAAGTAACGAAGCTCCCTTCCCACCCTATTTCCCATTGCTCCATTTCAACATTTAGCCGCTTGAAACCAGCCTCCCTAAATATATAACACCCTTCTTTCTTCACTCTTTTCACCACTTTCATATCATGAAAGCTGAAGGTGGAGTTGTGATGTTCAACCGGTCGGAGATCGATACCAGGGCGCCATTCAGTTCGGTCAAAGAGGCCGTCGCCTTGTTCGGGGAGAAAGTTTTAGCCGGTGAACTTTATGCCAACAGGCTCAAGGAGGTAATTAATCCCACTTGTTTCTTTTCTCCTTTTGGTCATGGTAGATACCCATGCTTTTGTACCTTTTCCATCACTCCAGATGTTCATTTACTGTAAAATATAACATGTCATGCATAGCGGTTTCATCAATGATCCATATGGTAAATCAAGCATATGTTGTCCATCAAGAAAGGTGATGAAGATATATCTCCCTCCCCCTTCTAGAATGTCTGAGAATATTGTCAAAACTTTAGAAAGGGAGGATTATCCATCAAGAAAGCAAGCATATATTCTGTCATTGTCCACAGTTCCTTGTAAACACATCAAGTGGAATCCTAGTATTGTTTATAAATTAACCAGTTTTACCAAGTTAATTTCCGACAGATGTATGGTGAAGCAAGTGGAAATGGTTCATCCAGGCTGGGAACGGTGATGGCTGAGCTGGAGGAGACGAAGCATAACCTTGAAAAAGCCAGAGAGGAGAGCATGACAATGGAGAATTGTCTGTCTTCTCTAAAAGAGGAGCTTGAAAGAACAAAGAGAGAACTGCAGAAAATGAAGGAACGAGAAACACAGAAACCAATATTGGAGTTTGATGTTGTCCCAGTCCCAGATCAAGTGAAGAAAACACATACATCTAATGAACAAGGAACAGAGTTCCAAAAGAAGAGATACGTGACATTTGCAAATCCACCTTCTTTGGCTCAAGTTATTATTCCGCAAGGTGTGGAGAAACTCGAGAGACACCCTTCACTACGAAAGAAGAAGAAGAAGCCATTGATTCCCCTGATCGGAGGTATATTCTCCAGGAAAAAAGGAAACCCAGAAATTGCATCACCAACAAGTCCCTGACCTACTCCATAGTGTCAACATAAATACTTGAGTTCCAAGTTCCAACAATAATTATCAACTGAGCCCCCTTTTTAATTCTCAAAGTTTCATAATTTTCTTCTTTATACACTTGTAAGTTGTAGCAGGGTAAGCCATAAGCAGAATGTGAATGTTTTAGAAGAGAGATAAGTAATAAGTTGTCAGTTGGATTTGACATTTTAAATTTACTTTAGCTTTTACCTTCTCAGCTATCAATTAGTAAGGTATGTGTTCCGTGTTTGGTTGGGGAGACAGGGAAGGTTATCAAATATCTGCCTTTTGTAGCTATCAAAGCTTAAATGCTCCAACTTCAATTTGGTTTTAGGTACTTTAGTTATGAGAGACAGACACCAACCCCCTTGTAATGAAATAAACATCAGCAACCCCTCTTTCATGCCTTGCCCATTTTCATTTCCTCACTCGTTTACATAACCTCTTTCATTGTATAAATGATTCATTATATAAAGAGACTAACCAACTACTTACAAAGAGCTCGTACGCATTAATAAATAAAAGATTCATTATATAAATGATCACTTAATCATGAAACACTTTCAATTTAATTATTGATATATTAATTTTCTCAATCATATCATTTAATTATTAAATTTATTGAGTAATTTAAGTACTTCATATTCTCTAATTGGTGTAGGTTTAAATCCCCACTCATTCACTTTTATTTCGTTTTCTTTTCTGACATTTAGTGTAATATAAGATATATATACATATTTGTCACACAAAAAAAGATATATATATACTACTATAATTCACATGTCAAATATGAGATTTAGCTCAGTGGTTAAGGTTAGCCTAATCTTTTAAATTCTCGAGTTCAATTTCTTTCAAAATCATTTTTTGTGTCATCATCTAATTGGAGAGAATAAAAAAAATTAAATAAAAATTATTATCAAATTCCTCTAATAAGACAAGCGCGTCACCGTCTGATTAGAAAATTTATACTAACTAAAAACATCAAACGAAAAAAAGACTTCAAAAATATAGGGAGAGAAGCATCGAATATTGATATATTTAGTTTGTTTATTCATGGAGTATCTTCAATTGCAAGCACTATTCCAAGAAAAAAAAACAACATACCTTACTAATTAATTTATTATCTCGTGATTAATAAATGTCTTCCTCAAATTTTGAGAGGATATATTGTTATATTTTTTCATATGATATTTGCTAGAATATGAACATAAGAAATGAGTAATGTCTTTTTTTTTTTGGATAAATCATTTTCAGTACCCTAAGAAGTAGCATCCTGCTACAAAACCACAATAAACAGCGACTACAAGAACAAAATAACTCCTAAAAATCACCTAAAGGATGCCCCATTTATAACAAAGTTGAATATTAACAACATCAATTCTATTAATGATTATTCCCCTAAGCCTAATTTGGATCACCTCCTTAATAACCTGTAGTAAAGCATCAACAGATCGAGCCTTACCCCTAAAAAGCCTGTAATTTCTTTCCTTCCAAATACAATAAACATGACAACCCCAAGTAATTTTAAAAATCACAGTGAGAAGAGACTTAACCTTAAGGTGCAAAATAGCCCAAGCAAGCTTTGGCTCCTAACATCTAGCACGAAGAGGAAGATCACAAAGAACCAAGACACCTTCTCATAGCTCCTTGGCAAATACGCAATCAAAAAATAAATGATCCCTAGTTTCAACTTCATTACTACATATCACACACTTCTCATTTTCCATACTCACTCCCATCCTCAAAAGTCTCTATCTGGTAGGTAACCGATCAAGGATGGCCATCTAAACTATAACACTATGCATGGGAATGTGCCCCCAAACCACACTAGATTATGCCAAAGAACTTTAGGGTGCTTTACCCTCTAGTCCTCTTAAATCTTGGAAGCTTTTATAACACCACCATTCACACCATCAAATAGTTGCCTAGCCTTCAGCCTTAGTTTAAAATTTTTTCGAAAGCTCCAACTAACATTAATAGGAATCTCAATATGTCGGAAGTCCTCGTTTTTCAAGACATAAGTGATGAGTTTCTAAATCGATAATATTTGCTTGATAATTCTTTGATCTTTTGGATTTATTACTGTTGATTTGGTTGTATTGTGCTTATTTTCGTACATGAGCTTATTTTCCATAATTAGCAGTAAAACGGGTGCGTTTTGCAATTTTTTCATTATTTGGTCATGGATGGAGACATGGGAACTACTATGGGCATGACACAGTCTGACGTGGTAATTTCTAGAAGGTCCAGTCAGTAGCAGTTTTCTAGAAGATATAGTCAACACCTTTTGGAAGGTGGACGAACATATATATCTTAGGAGATTTATTTTTAAATTTTAAAGTTTGAATTTGAAAATATTTGAAATTATTTTTAGGATTATTTTTATTTTAATTTCTATGTTTATCTCTAGGATTTTAGAAGCTATAAATACCCCTTGGGGTAAGGCTCAGAACACACTTGTTTTTAGATTTAGTAAATTTCGGTGATTTCGGTTTTTACAAAAGTTTTATTCTTCTTCTTTCGTTTTCATTTTTTTAGTTTTTATTTTTAAGTTTTATTTTCAATATGTTAATTATGACTTCTGTCATGCTTAGCTAATTTTCTTATAAGCCGAAAGGCTAAGTAATGACTCAATTCAATATGTGAGAATTGAAAAGCACTTAGTATCTTCAGGATTTCACTCTTAGTTTTCTTGAAACTTAGATAGGTAATCGACCAATCCTATAAAATCAAAACACTTTTATTTAAAAAAGAGCTTGTTGTTCTGGATGTTGTTTTTGATTTAAAGTTTAGAGGAAAAATTGGCTTGTAGCATATCCTACTTCCTGTGAACACACATAGCGGCGGTCTGCTAAGGGAAACTGAGACCGGGTTCGATTCTCAGTGAGACAACATAATCTGAGTCGGACTTTTCCTAAACTAAAACTATTTTTCTACTAATGATGATTGTCGCAGTTGGTTAAATTAAAAACTGGATTTCCAAAGATTGGCATTGGGAAAATCGATTACCAAAGTGAAAAGCATGTTACAAGGGTTGAGCCTTCTCAACTGTAACCGTCATGAATCCTGAAGTGAAAATCTATTTTCGATGATAAAAAACGAATTGAATCAAAGCGAGACTCGAGCCTGCATTTTACCATAAGTATTTTCAATTTTATATTTTCAATCTTCTTAATTACTTATTCTTATTCAATTTTTTATCAAACCCCTTATTTATTTACTACATATTCCTTGGTCGTAGCAATTCAAACCGAAATTTAGGAATTTTCCAAGTCCTTGTGGATCAACCCTGCTTCTCTACTATGTATTTCTTTATTATATATTATAGAGAATGAGAAATTTATTTTGATAGCAAAAGAACGTTTGTCAAGTTGGTGTCGTTGCTGGGGACTTCGCCAAAATTACTAATTTTTGTTTGCTTTTGATTTATGACCAGGACAAACCTGAGTGAATTAGTAGATTTCAACCCAGAAATCGAAGCTAGAGCTCGAAGAATTCAGGCATAGATGTTTTGATAAAGAAGGAGACAACAAGAATCAGATCCACAATCAAGTTCAGAATCCAGTTCATGCGAATCTATTAGTATAGAACCAAATCCGATGGTCGATCCCACTATTACAGAGTTAACCGCAACTCCTGCTCAGAATTACCAAATGAGAATCCACATAAATATCTCACTGAGTTTCACATGGTCTACTATAGCATGAAACTACATGAAGTATTTGAGGACCAAATCAAACTTAGAGCTTTACTTTTTTTGGAATGATTATTTTATTTACCCCCATATTCTATTACCACTTGGGCTCAAATGACTCGCCTTTTTCTTGACAGGTTTTTCCCTACGACGAAAGCAAGTGAGTTACGAAGAAAAATATTTGGAATCAAACAAAAAGAGGGAGAGGTTAACTGAGCAAACCCTGCTTCAATATTTTTAGGAAGGATTTACTCCCCTATAAATGAAGATGATCGATGTTGCCAGCGGAGGAGCTTTTATGAACACGACTCCTACTGAGGCTAGGAATTTAATTTCCATGATGGCCATAAATTCTCAACAGTTTCATCCGACTAATTAACCTCCTTGAAGGGTTCATGAGATAACTTCATCTTCCATAGAAAGTAAGATATATAAATTAATTGATTAGTCAATTTTCTTGTTGCATGAAATATTAGAACCAACAAATTATGTGGAATATGTGCATTACCTCATCATCCAACAAACATATGTCCACTAATCCAAGATGACACATCTTCTCAAGTGAATGCAGTAAGGAACTTTATAGGATCTCCCCAAAGGTCTTATAATCCCTATAGCAGTACTTACAACCCAATATGAATGGATCATCCAAATTTCAATTACTCTCAAAACTCAAGGCCTAGTCAAGGTCACCTCCACCACCCCAACAACTACAGAAATTGTCTTTAAAATCAATTGTCGAAAGGTTGGTTATTTCCCAAGAAAGGTTCCAGACTCACACAAAAGCCCACTTGCAAAAGTTAGACAAGCAAATGAGTCAGTTGGCTCAGTCTGTGGGATGTTTGGAATCAAAGGTTAAATCTCAAACTGAAACAAAACCAAGAGAAAATGCAAAAAAATGTCAGTGCTATCACTCTTCTGAGTTTTACAGTACTTGTCGCACAATCGGTTCCAAAAGATAAAGTAATCCAAAAGAAAAAGAAGGTCGTTGACTCAGAATCCCAAAAAGAGAGGGATGAATTACAAGAAGATCCAACACCATCTCCCTAGGTTGTGCCACCACATTTTCCATAAAGGTTAATAAGCTAAAAATCAATATATTAGATGTATTACAAACTAAAAGGAAATATTGGTTGTATTTTGAAAGGTGAAAATCAATATACCTCTCATTGAGGTTATTCGAAGGGTTCCAAGATATGCCTGATTTTTTAAGGACCTTCGCACAACATAGAGAAAACTTACCAGGAGCGAGAGGGTAAATATGGGAGAACATGGCTCAGTTATTTTCCAACAAAAGATGCCACCAAAATTGAAAGACAAGGTATGTTCGCTATACCTTGTAAAATTGGTAAAGTTGGAATAAAACAAGCCATATGTGATCTTGGTGCCTCTATTAACGTGATGCCTCTCTCTGTTAATAATATGATTACTAATGATCCTCTGAAGTATACAAACATATCAATTAGTTTGCCGACAGATCTATCAACTACTCAGAATGACTCTTGGAAAATATGTTGATGAA